CATTGACCCCAAAGTCCCACATCTTCAACATCCCATTGACCCCGATGTCCCATGGCCCCAACGTCCCATGACCCCATTGTTCCCATAACCCCAGCATCCCGTTGACCCCATTGTTCCCATGACCCCATTGTTCCCATGACCCCAATATCCCATTACCCCCCATCCCATGACCCCAGTGTCCCATTGACCCCATTGTTCCCATGACCCCATTGTTCCCATGACCTCAGTATCCCATGACCTCAACGTTCCATGGCCCCATTGTTCCCATTACCCCCCCATCCCATGACCCCATTGTTCCCATTACCCCAACATTCCATGGCCTCATTGTTCCCATTGACCCCGATATCCCATGGCCCCACTGTTCCCATGATGCCAATATCCTATGTCCCCATTGTTTCCATGACCCCACTGTTCCCATGACCCCAACATCCCAGTGTCCCATTGACCCCAATACCCCATTACCCCACATCCCATGGCCCCATTGTTCCCATGGCCCCATTGTTCCTATGACCCCACTGTTCCCGTGACCCCAATATCCCATGACCTCAACGTTCCATGGCCCCATTGTTCCCATTGACCCCATCATTCCCATGGCCCCATTGACCCCAACATCCCATTGACCCCAACGTTCCATGGCCCCATTGTTCCCATGACCCCAGTGTCCCATGGCCCCATTGTTCCCATTGACCCCATCATTCCCGTGGCCCCATTGACCCCAATATGCCATGACCCCAACGTTCCGTGGCCCCATTGTTCCCATGACCCCATTGTTCCCATTGACCCCAATATCCCATGACCCCATTGTTCCCATTGACCCCGATATCCCATGGCCCCATTATTTCCACGACCCCAACATCCCAGTGTCCCATTGACCCCAATACCCCGTTAACCCATTGTTCCCATGGCCCCAACATCCCATGTCCCCATTGTCCCCCCACCCCCTTTCCCAGACACGCGGCTCTTTGCCCCCCTCCCCCCATGGAGCGCAGGGCCCAATTTTGGGGATCCACCCCCCCCAGTTTGGGGACCCCCCAGTGGGACGCGGCGGTTCCCACGTTGGCCCCACAGCGCTGTGGGGTTGTGGGCTGAGTCAGCAGCCTGGATCTGCGGGGCAGGAGGTGGGGATACGGGGTGGATCTCTGGGATGGAGAACAGATCCCTGGGTTAAAGGGTGGATCCAGGAGGACGGATCCCTGGGATGTGGGGTGGATCCCTGGGGTGGAGAAGGGATCCTTGGGGTGGAGAATGGATCTGTGCGGATGGATCCCTGGGATATGGAGTGGATCCTTGGGATGGAGAAGGGATCCGTGGGGGTGGATCCCTGGGATGGGGGGTGGATCCTGGGGTCAGGGAGTGGGAAT